GGGAGGCAGGGCCTGAGTCCTGCTGGGGCAGGCAAGGCCTGAGGGAGTCCTGCTGTGGGGCGGGCAGGGCCTGAGTCCTGCTGGGGGGCGGATAGGGCCTGAGTGAGTCCTGCTGGGGGGCAGGCAGGGCCTGAGTGAGTCCTGCTGGGGGGCGGGCAGGGCCTGAGTGAGTCCTGCTTGGCAGTCTGCATTAGCCAACACACATCTGCTCTCTCTATGAAAGCCATCCACAATGTTGCACGTGTACTTCTTCACGCCTGTCAGAATGTCATGTGTCACAAACCACACTGAGGGCAGACAAGGGGAGGCTAACACTGATCCCTTCTGCAGCGGAAGGGGCTCGTCCATGGCTCCGGCCTGTCTCTGGAGCAGTGGCTGCCAGCCAGGGTGTCTGCTGTGCCCCACTGACCCGCCTCTGCCCCGACCAGAAGTCCTCAGCATCGAGAGACAGCAGTGCGGGCAGGACCTTGGGGAGCTGCAAGCCAGGAGATGCTAAGGGCGCCAAGACGCCAGCTCCTGGGTGCGCGCTACCACAGGAGTGGGTGTGGACCACTGCAGTGGCACCAGGCACCAGGGTTTCCTAGGATGGCCCGTAGAATGCTACAGTGACCAAACAGACAACCAAAATGAATGGACACGTCTCCCTAACACGTGTAGTACTGACTGAAGCACATGAAACAACGCTCCTCACCATCAGCCATCATATCAGAGAAATGGAAAGTAGAACTATGCTGAGAGGTCATCTCGCCCCAGAGAACAGGGAGCATCTGAAAGTCTAACAACGTCACGTGTGGGCGGGACGTGGGGTCGAGGACTCCGCCACACTTGATGGAAATGTAATAGTGTAGTTACGGCAACCACCATGGAAACCAGTGTGGAGATTCCTCAGAAAAGTAGAAATGGAGGCTCCAGCTGGCCCAGCTTCTCCACTTCTGGGCATCGTCCCAAAAGTTACGACCATCTAGGACAGTGACACACACGCACCATGTTTATAGCAGCACAGCTTATACTAGCTAGACGTTGGAAATCGCGCGCATGTCCACCAGTGCATGGCTGGCCAGGAACACGTGTATTCACACACAGTGGATACTGCTCTGGCACAAAGAATGCTCTTGAGGCATTCGCAGGAAGACGGAGATGGCTGGAGAGCGCTAGGTGAAGTGCATCAGACACACAGCTGGATTGTCGCATAGTTTTTCTCATATGAGAAACACAAGGAACAAACGGCAACAGAGACAGTAAGAAATAGCGGGAAGTTCAAACACTTTCCCCAGTTTACAAATTCCAATGATATGCTAATTGACTTCATTTATGTTACTAGCTTATCTTGTTCATTGAAAAGGCAGATCTCTGCTATTATCCGCTTCTTTTTTGTGAGAATCTTTTTGGCTTATGGCTTGTGAGTAGCTACTTCGAGGCTAATGATACACCGTGTAATAACTGCTGTCATTTTCTTTTTTTTTTTTTTTTAAAATTTTTTTTTTTTTTTTTGTATCTGTGTGTGTGTGTGTTCCTCGAATGCCTTCAGGGCACTTTTGGCCAGCGGGAGAGGTGTGAGGTTCGAACTCCAGCACCCTGAGGCTGACAGCTTTGTGGAAGCAGCCACTTAAAGGCCTGAGCTAGGGCCAGGCCCCCAACTGCTGTCATTTTCTTATTTGACTATGCAATTTCATTTCACTTCTTCATAAAATAGAAAAAAATTTAAAAATTCCACGATGCATGCGAACAGGCTTGCTAGACAAAGACCGCCTCTCCCCGTCTCCCGGCCCGCCGTAGGGCCTCGTGCCCTTCAGGGTGGGCTGACTTTGCTTTTCGTGTCAGATATTCACAGTTGCCAAGAGGACCATGATTTTGTTTGATACGAAATATTTGCAAATGCATTTTTTAGCATTTAAACAAACCCTAAAACTTCACCAACAAATCTGACTTTTTATAATAGCAAAACTATTTTCAAGACTTAAATTTAAATAAAATTCTGTATATCAAAACAAAACAAAATGGAGGCCAAGGGTCTTAACTATGCAATTCCACTTAGCATGCAAAAAGATTAGCTGATTTGAACATGGACATGTTTTTGTCCTAAAATTGGGATAATCTTAGGATGAAAGAATAATAATGTTCCGAGCTCAGAGATGACAGAGATTTGTTAAACGCTCAGTGCCCTGGAGCTAGGCTGGGAAGAAAAGCCGGGCTACGGAAGAACCCCGGCTTACTTGCTATAGCTGTTTGCTTGGCGCTGGGGCCGGACCTGCTGGCCTTCCCGGGAGCTCCTGCCCATCTCAGCTCCTGCACGGAGCGCGCACGGGCTCCACCCAAAGGAAGGGCAGTGATCCTGGGCCCTCGCCAGGCCCGAGTCCTGGGCGCTGAAGGATACGGATGAGAAGCAGGCCCAGAGGGGCTGCGTTAGCACAGAGCAGGGGCCGGCCAGGCTGCCCGCAGCATGCAGAGGCTGCTGCCGGGACATCCCTCTGCAAGAGCCTTGGGCTTCAGAGGAGGCGTTCACATTAGGCATAAAAGGATTCTTAAATTGGGGCTTTATATGTATGTGTATAAGACAAAATTTGCTATCTCCATCATTTTTAATTCTACAAGCCGCCGCAGGCAGAGGCACGGAGACAGTCAGCCTCGGCCTCTGTAACAGCTACACGTGCTGTGCGCCAAGAAGGCTTTCTTGGCAGGGAACTTGTAGGTAAGGCTGGATCTTTTGCTCTCTCTTTTTCAGATTGGTGGGGAGAAAGGGGATCTTGTTTGCAATTTAAAAATACAGCCCACATTCTGAGCACTAACGCCGATGCTGAGAGGACCCCTGTGGGTCCCGTGTGGCCCCAAAGCTCACGGAAGGCAGTAGTCAGGCTGGCCCAGCCTGGTGCCCGCTCAGACACGCGTGCGAGCCGCCACGGGCACAGGCACGGAGACAGTCAGCCTCGGCCTCTGCTGGCAATGGGCCCTGGTGTTTCAAACTCGGGCTCTGCATCGATTGATTTCACCGTCCTGGAGGGTGACGGCGGTTGGCTTTCATCGAGGCCCCGGGATGAACAGCCCCGCCACACGGGTCCTACCTTGGGCTTGTACGCGTTCAGCATGGACATCTCCACGTTCTGGCCCCTCACGTGTTTTGGCTGCCTCTGCACCGGCGGTGAGGACGACTTCTGGCTATTGCGGCAGACACAGATGAAGAAGAAGAGGAAGGCGATGGCCAGGGGGATGGTCACGCTGGGCACCAGGATGTACAGGATTTCCATCTTGTTCTTCTCCTTGGACTCTTTGGAGTCTGGGTGCAGAAAGCAGAGAGAGAGCAAGAGTCACACTCGCGGCACAGTTTCAGGCCAACCAGTTTTGCTCTTCTGGACAGACACAGAAAGCTACCGTGAGGAAAGGGTGCCCGGCACATTACACGCTGTGTCTACCAAGCCTCGACAAGGGTGGCTGAAGCTTAAAAGGTTCAAGTTCCAACGTTTAAAGATTGCACAGGAACATGAGGAGGAATCAGGGCCCATGCGCCCCCTCTGACGTTGCCTCTCTTGAGTAGCAGACCTGCATTTCTCTGACGCCTTCAGGTGAACAGGCTGCGAACCCCGGCAGAAGTGCACGCACAGCCCCACACCACCACAGCCTCTTCCTCCACCAGCCCCCACAAGAGACCCCGCCCCGGTCCTGCCTGGAGGGGCACACAGGCTGGCCTGCATCTTCTTGAATCAGCATCACTAAAGCAGCCTGACTCCACTCTCCCAAAAGCCACTGGCCTGAGAATATGGGGGCCTGGGGTCAGGGTCAGTTCATTTGCAGAGGAGCGGGGTGACCCCAGAACAAATCATTCCTGTCTCAGCCTCACGTCTTCCCAGCTGCAGGTGTGAAACGAATCTTGTGGATGGCGTCCACAGTTTCCTCCGGCACAGAGGCACCGAGGACTTGACACTCTCGAAACCTCAGAATCCCTCCTAAATGGTTGCACGTGGACCCCGTGACTGGAGCGCTGACACTCTGAAGTGCACTTCTGTGGTCATGTCGTGCACTTTCCCACTGCCTGGCGGAGGGCAGCGCGCGTGGAGGGCGAAGGTGTGTTTCTCTTTTTATTGGTTTGATTCTGCCCCTTAAAACTGAACACTTAGAGCAATATTCTTATTAATGAATTATCTGACTGGTAAAACAAACACTAGAAGTATGGAATGGCAGTTAGAGGGATTACCTCATGCCATGACCTGACCCCCAAGATCAGTTATTTTTTCTTTAAGAAAACCCAAAGTGTGAAAATAAAGATTGACACAAAACTCAGCGATGATGATTTACTTTGCAAAAGAATTCATACGCAGCTGTGTAGTCCCCCTTTCCCCTCCAGGCGCCGATGAACAATAGCTGCTGCGGGCCTTGCCTCGCCTCGCCTCGCGGAGGCGCGGCCATGTCAGGCTAGACACGAGGCAGAAGAAACAATATATTACAATATATTGTTTTAATGCTACAATGGAAGTATCACTAGAAGGCTGTGAAGATTGAAAGGTTCCTTTACATAGGGAGTTTTCCTAGTGCATTAATGAGAATAGTTTTTTTATTTTTATTTTTTTAATTAAGGCCGCATGGGTTTTGTTTGTTTGGTTGTCAGGGGCACGTGAGCTCAGGCGTGGCTGCCAGCTGAGCACGCCATCCCAGAGCTGCGCTGGGCCTTCTGTCCTCCTGCTCCGGAGCCTTTGGTGCTGGTGAGCGGCAGCAGGAAGGAAGGAATTACCGAGATGAGAAGGATGAGGGAAGGAGGGAGGGAGCAACGACATCTCTGTGTGCAGGCAGGATGCTTGGGCAGCTGTGGCCTGGCCTTCCGTGGTCTGTGGAAGGAGCGGCTCATGCTTGACTTTTTTTTTTCAATTTTCTTTCCTTTTTCTCTCTTAATTTATTACAACTTTATTTTTCTTTTTTCTTTCTTTTTCCAATTTTGCATGCATATATCTGGTAATCTAAACAACTAAGTTGAAGACAACAAATACAGTTGAATTCATATTATTTTGTTCAGTGAAATTCTGTATCATTTCTCATTTTTAATTATTATTTTGTATTCTCTTTCAAAAAATAAATAGGGAGCCAGGGATACAGCTCAGGGGCATAAGAGCCTGCCTAGCAAGTGCAAGGACCCAGGTTCAACCCATAGTACTGCATGCGGTGCTGGCCCCGGTACCCTGGGCGTGCAGTGCCAGTCCTGAAACAGGGCATGGTGGAGCATGCCTGTAATTCCGGCACAGGGAAGGCTGAGACAGGCGGATCACTACTAGTCTGAGCTATGTAGAGAGACCCTGTACCAAACAAAGAAAGAAAGTTAAAAAATATTTTTATTTTTATTTTTTGGCGGAACCGGGGTCAGAACTCGGCCCTTGCACTTGCCAGGCAAGCGCTTATTCTACTGAGCTATCTCTCTGGCCCTAAAAAATATTTTTAAAGGATCACATGCTTCCCCTCCTCTCATGCACATGCGAGGAGGGCCCATAATGGGGTGTGAGTGTGTTGTCAGCAGGGCTTGGGAAGGGCCAATCGGTTACTGAGCACAGTCAACCGACTAAGCGCACCGCGCACTCATTCTCCACTGGTGCGGCTGCCCGATGGCTGCTGTGTGCAGGTGCTTCCTGCTGGGAAGCCAGCTCTGTACAGCCACTGACGTCTGTGTCTATTTGTGCAGTGGAGCATGCTGGGAGGCAGAGTGACTCCCTTGCCCGGGGCCAAAGCTGGCATCATCCCATCCTTCTGGCTACTTCCCTGTGCTGGCAGTAATGTGGCCGCCTGCTGGGTGGCACCCATCTGCTCTGAGTAGAGCCCCTCCACAGATGGGTGAGAAAGATGGGGGCGCGGACACCGGTGCTGACCGACACCGGCGCTTTCAAAGGCAAGCTGCTTCCCTACCGCGCCCCTCACCCGCTTGGATGGATGACCAGAGAGTGCAGGCCAGGCTTGTCGCTGCTAGGAGCTTGGGCAATGGCTGTAGCCATGTCTGTGGACACACAGGGAGACGGGAATCACAGGAGGGCACAGTGTCTCCGTGGACACTCTGTGGGCTGCTCCGCTGTGGAAGTAGAGCCTGCCGAAAGCCGCCTCTGAGCACAGGGGCTCGGGCATGTTTGCAGCTAAGCCGCTCCGCGTCCTGTGCGCACACATCTGCGACAAGGCGGTAGAATGAGGGTAGAACAAGGGAAAGGCAGGCTCACTCACTGCCTGTGTGGTGGCCTGTGTGGTGGCCTGCATGGCCCCGAAGCGGCACTCGGGCACCCTCGAACTCATCTGTAAAGTGGAATAAAAATAACACCACTTTATGGAGTTGTTGTGCACATGAAATGCGCAGGAATGTGAAGACGCGCGAGTCATTCTCCGTGGCAACTCAGCGCTCAGCTTATCCCTAGAGTACAAGGAGAGTCTGGGATAAACCTGTGGGGCTGGAAATGCAAGACTACGATCTCCGCTTCCTCCCTCCTGGGCGGGGCTGTACTACCCGCCCCTCGGCCCTGTCCGGCTCATGTGAGAATCCCTGAGAAAATGCTCACCAAAGAGCCTGGAATAACTGAAAACTGCTATATGGCGGTTTGGACGCTCTATTATTAACATGATAGAATTTCTCAGTGTCCTGAAAGGGCGGATTTCTTTTGTTAGTCTTGGATTCTTAATGAAATTACAAGCGTAACGATCATAAAAGGATCAAGGCTAATTCAATACTAACAAGACACTAGTCATTTTTCCAGCCTACATGGTTTCCATGACAAGAGACAGCAAGGTCTCACCTGTCTGGCGGACAAAGGCGCCTACCTGCATTTGCTCCCTATCAGGTTATTCCTCAGGAAGGCTGCCTTTCGTCCCTGGGCGGCCTTTGACAAGTTCCCTTGGGGCTGTGGGAATGAACTCTGAGAAGCCAGATCCTTTCAGCGCAGTCAGACTTGCTCCCTGTGCTTTGAAGCACCCAGGAGGGCACAGGGCACAAGAAATGAGCCAAACAACGCACACCTACATTGGGGTGTCAGGGAGCACGTGCAGGCCTACTGGGGGCCTGTGTCCTTCCCCACCCCTCTGCATTTGGCCAGAAGAGGCTCAGCCTCTGGCTCTAAAAGCCTTTGAAAAAGGTACTTTATGGAAAATTAGCCTCACTCAGGCAGAGCTAGGAAGTCAGTGGGGGCCCAAATGCTTCCTCTGGGGTCCTGAGATCAAGCCCTGCGCGTGCTGGGAGGCGCCCTCCTGAGCTACCCTGACCCTGCCCTGCTCCTGGCGTCCCTCCTCACCCGCACCTGGTGTTTCCTGGATCTTACAGAGAAATTGAGGTCGTGGGAGGGCAAGTGAGCCGCTGATCTACAGCATCGGACTCAGGTAGGATTGCAGGTCTGTCTGCCTTCAGTGCTTGTATTCCTTGTGTATTTTGCTACTAATAAAAATCTCCCCAAATGTTGTCTGGAATTCTTTGTCTCCTTAGCAGGCCCACGTGCCCATCTCAGGAGCGCCGACCTCGGGGGAGAGCGGCCCACCTAACGCCGCACTGGGACGCTGGGCATGACTCCTGCTGTTCGCGGGTAACAGGGCTCCGAGTGTGTGGAGAGCAAGCTGGCTGGCAAGGCGAATGTGGAGACTTTCAGGGCTGTGGAGCTGCTGTTTACATGCTCAGTGCACATATTAGTTACATGGAGTCCAGGGCTTGGGATTTCTGAGACTAATAATTTAGTCTGGATCACATGATTAATTTCCTTTTAAAAATCAACAATTTGGTATCACTGTCCACATCTGACATTCCTGTTTTATTTTTACAATGATACTTAATACTTTGATTAGTAATTAAATATAATGGGAAAAATACTCACTTCTTACCCTAGGGCTTAAAGCAAGTAAACATGATTTCTTATTCAGGAGGTACTTTTGTAATGTGAAACATCATCTGGGATATTACTTTGAGTTAAAGCAAGAAAATGTTCCGACTTTAAATATGGCAAAGGTGGGAAGAAATCTTACAGACCTTTAGAATTCAAAGGAAATGAAACAAGTTTAAATTATGATCTTGTCTGAAAAAAGAATTAAAAACCATAGAAAACAAGAATCACTACTATTCATTATATGAGAATCATAAAGTAAGTGATGGCACACAGAGCCATGTGCTAGTGATTTTTAACCAGAACTCTGGACACCCAGGAGAAACGGAATGATTCGCCTGGGTTGGCATGCTGGGCGGCACCCCTTCCAGACCTCATGACCGAAGCCGACGCCAACAATCTAGGGCCTCCCGTGTTCTCCGGCGAATTCTTTTACAGAAATGCTGAGTAGGCTGCA